TAATCTTGGTGGCATAACATATAACCTGACAATACATCTTGGCCATTGTAGTACAGGATGGCTGAGCTCCCAGCACTGCCAGAAAACTGACCATGCAGGGATGAATGTGCTCTCATGCCTAGTGTAGTCAGTTTTTAATAAAAAAGCAGAGGAACTGGCAGGAACACAAGGAATTTCACACAAAGGAATGAAAAAAGAATTGGAAACTTTTTCTTACAAGCATGTGGTACAGCAGGCACATCATCATCAGGAATAAAAAATGTTGGGGTAACAATCTTTAGGCCTCTTGCACACAGTAATGATGTTTGAGCATCTACATTTTTTAACATAGTTTCAGGCACTTGTTTTATGTGTATTTGCACATATTTTTGTGCATATGTGCGTTCCCGCATTTGTGTGCACAGTATACTGTTAGGAAAAATTCATTATTATTTATGCTCATATGCGCGTATTTGTGTGCATATGCGTGTAGGCAGTGTAAATTACTGACCAAAAATATTGATTTTATTTACTTTTTTTAATGCCGAATACACAGTGTGACGATTGTGCGCAATAGAGACATGGACGCTGTACACGACAGCTATCTTGTTAGGCCTCAGCCATTTTGTTTCTCCTCTCCTCCCTCTTGAAATTGAATTTGTAGCTGTAAGTTGAATGGACTGCAAAAGGGCCTCTTATCTTAAATAGTACACAGATAGATGAGCTCCAGAGCTGTAAACCGCTTATTAGTCTGGTGCAGGAGGTCTGCTTTGAAAACCACTTTCCTCTGCCCGATTGTTAAACAATAACTCAGTCAGCCATGACCTATTAGGGCTCTAGGATACAGAGTGTGCCATAAAACGTCTATTCCACATATAACCATTTCACATACAATTCATAAAGTTCATCAGGAACTGGGCACATTAGTATTAGGCATATATTTGGATATATAATAATTTTTATGTGAGCCCAGCAAGATCATGAATGATTATATTAGCACCTAGGAGAGAGAAGAAATCAGTTTCTTCCTTCCTGGGTGACAAGGATAACGCTGTGTTTGGTATCCCTGGGTTTGAAATCTAATTCTGAATATTAATCTGCCAGTTGCTAGAATACCACCTGCACATACTGGAAGTTATTAATATTAGTATGAAACTCCAGTTGGGACTTGGGTATTAGCTTAGGGGCCGCCTAGCACCCATCCCCAAACTGGATGATTGGTCAGCTGTTCTCAGGCGACACCCTTTTAATATCATAGAAAAAGACTGACAGGCCTGGAGAAGGAAGCTCTCATTTAACATCAATCAAGATTATCTTAACGGACTTGAGAGCCAAGGAAACCTTTTTGCTCAGACACTTGGACTCTGCTTAAACCAAGGCCATTGCAAGTATTCTGCCTTCTTAACTCCTTTCTCTGTTGCTTTATTGTTCTCTTTATATCCTGGTAACCTCTATTTCTGTAAATATTTTAATTACACCATTTTTGACTTTTTTGTAATAAATCCAATTCTGAAAAGTGTTGAAACTGTATCTAAAGCTTTTAATGCAAACTAAAGAATCCCTGTCTCTGGAGAGTGCTACTGTATGTAATAACCCTCTGAATAACCCTGTCTGTGGTGACAGTGTGTATTACAGATGTTTATGCTAATATCATAGTGTTACTGCTAGGATTTGTGAGTTTCCTCCTCCTCTGTAAAAAAGGTGGTGGTGGCAGTGTGAAGGGTTAATTGCATAATTAACCTAACCCAGTAACAATCGCTCTCAGGCTGCTGGCACATAGATTGTGGCTCCGCAAGCTGGAAAATCTTTGTGCAGGGCGTAGCTGAGAGTGGCATTGTTAAGTGACAGCGCTGTGCGAGATCGGCTGGTCCTTCGGTCACGAGTTGGTGAGAAGGGCAGGGGTGGGACACCACGTTTCGTCACACACAGCGCTTATTTATGCGCCTGTGTTCAAAGGCACATTGTAAATAATGAGCTACATTTTACCTCCATAAAGAAAAATGTTGTACTGAGCTGTTTCAAGCTGCAGTGGTGCAAGAGGCCTCAAGGTACAGTGAAAAAGACCAGACCTATTGGCCAGATCAACAAGTGAAAATAAAGGAAAAACAAATCAGTTGCAGCCACCACATCTTATGGTGGCCATACACTAGACAAAAAAATCATTAAAAAATCTGTCATTTGGACAGTTCATATTTCACATAGTGTGTTTGTTCTGTTTACACTGTGTACATGTTATGAGTACGTGTAAGTGTGTGTGTGTGTGTGTGTGTAGTTTCACTCAGTGAAAAGTTGATTTAGTGTGGAAAAATGTTTTTCTTCTTTTTTTTGTTTGTTTTTTTTTGTTTGGCTGCTCGTCAGAATCACTTGGTTTTAGTTCATTTTTTGTCCAGTTAATGAGCACAAATCAATTGTGATGTGTTTGAGCCAAAAAGTGGAAGGAAAAGTTTGCAAAACTTCTGCTGAACAGGCAATAAATTGAAAGGTTAATGTGTTTCCCGCACGTTAAAATGTAACTGTTGATACTGTACCTATGTGACCCAGAAGCAATAACAGATGAAAAACTGATTCATTTATGTCCATTGAATGATTAACCGGTCAAAATTTCGTCATTACATTTTGACAATATTATTTACTCTCATGACCATGTGTTTAATTTTTTTTTTTTTTTTTTAAAACCCATTCAAACGATTTTTGACTAGTGTCTGTCTAGCATTAGAATTGGTACGTTTTTGTTTTGGAGTTTAAAGCAGAACTAAACCCTCCTCTCCTTTTTAATCCAAGGAAGCTGCCATTTTAGCCTCCTTCTGATCTGCAACTGCCGTGGTGCTGCATGTGATCAGTTATGACACCGGCCATTTGATGGTTTTACAGTTTGGTTGACATGTAACAGCATTCCCAGGATGCTGTGAATTTTACTGTTTTTGAAACTGTTAAATTGATGAGTTTAGTTCTGCTTTAACTGTTTCCCCTAAACATGGTTGGTTGTGCTTTCAACTGAACTGTCAAATGACTGGTGTCATAAGTGATCACGTGCAGATCAAACTGAGGCTAAGATGCCATCTTCCTTGGCTGTAAAGGATGGGAGGGTTTAGTTCCATTTAAAGATGAATTCTGCCAATATAGTATAAACAGACAAAACTCCGCTGCAGGCTAATTTTCTCTCTCATCTCCTGGATGCAGGAGCTGGCTTTCCACAGTTGTGAGCTACTGCACATAACTTTTTGAATACTCCTCCAAAACAAAATGGAGAGCCACTCGCTATAAAAGCTCATTTCTAATTTATTAAACCCAAATCATGCACAAACAGGCAATCTGGTGCCAGGATACCACCAACGCATTTCACTTCTCACAATTGCTTAGACATAGGGAGCTCACTTTTCAGGTTCTCGTTCATAAAAGGTTTTATTTCTTTCCAAATAATACAATCCGGGGAATTGAGCAGTTGTACATGGCAACCAGTCAGCTTATAACTTTCATTTTCAAAGCTTAGCTGAAAAAGGCAGAGAAAAAGGCTGATTGGTTGCCATACAAAGCTGTACCAGATCCTGTCTGCTCCAGGAACCATGGAGAAATTAGTATAGACGTGACCGTTATTTTTTTCATAAAGGAAAAGATAACTGAAAGACTAATGCAGCCAGCATGTCAAAGGACTTTTTTTTTTTCCCAACATGTTGGGATTAATATGAGCGTTGTAGAATGACAGATGTATGATATCCTACCAGGTGGATGCTGGCCATGCCAGATTTTGCACACTCCAATTTCACAAGTTGCATGCCAAGTCGCAGCAATGTGAACTGGGGCTAAGAGTGCATTATTTAACAGATTTTAAATATTTCAGTTTTTCATGTTTTGCACTTAAAATTTTAATGTTGTTTTATGACTAGGGTTTTTTTTTTTTTTTTTTTTTTTTTTTTTTTTTCAGCCAGTTGGTTAAATGAGAAAAAAAGAACTGATTCAACCATCCAAATGAGGCATATAGAGGAATCATCCCCTCTGCTGGGATATTGTATTGTGACAGCAGGACTCTGTCAGAAAGTTTTCCAACATTCCTGTTTGACAGAAGTCAATCTAACGATTGACTCCTGTTGAACAGAGATCAAGATTCATCCTATTCCTGCTTAAGCGGCTGAATTTGTAACCATTTATGGCCAACTTAGGAATGTTTTTATAAATTCTCAATATTTCCCTGTATCTTCATTCATAGAAAATCTTCCTCTAATGCAGCATTCGTGTGTGAAAAAAATTGTGCTAAAATAACATTAAAATGAAACCCTAAATTTTAAATGCAAAACATGAAAAACTTAAATATTTAAATCTGTTAAATAATGCACTCTTAGCTCCAGTTCACATTGCTGCGACTTGGCATGCAACTTGTGACGCATAGGGGTTGATTTACTAAAATTGGAGTGTGCAAAAATCTGGTGCAGCTCTACATGCAAACCAATCAGCTTCCAGTTTTTTTTCATCACAGCATAATTAAACAAGCGGAAGTTAAAAACTGATTGGCTATCATGCACAGCTGCACCAGATTCTGCTCTCTTCAGTCTTCGTAAGTCAACACCATAGAGTCACATGGCAAGTGAAAACTCAGTCATTTCAGTGATAGCTGTTTCAATGTGACTCAAGTTGCAATAACTTTTTAAAAGGTTTCTGCACTACTTTGATGTGACTTCAATGTGACTTAGACTCTCATGGATTTTAATTTTGCATGAAAGTCGCCCTGGAGATTGAAGAAAAGTAAGATAAATACCACAAGTAATCAGCCAACACAGCATTTTCATTATACCGGTATGTACTGTTTATGACCCATTTTCTCATTCCTATTGGTCACATTTGTAATTTGGTGATTTCTATATAAATGCGCTGCTTCATCTATATAGTTATTTGGACAAGATTATTCGTGGCAGCTGTCAATGTATCTTGCTGTTTGAAAGAGGTGCAGGTCACCATTTGTGCCATGACAGGCCTGGTGTTCTCACTCCCATCACTGGTGATGGCTGGCTGTTTGAGTTGTTTTTTGTGAAGACAATCAGTTACAAAGCAGAGAAGAGTTCTGCCAGTAGTAGAATGCTGATCCCTGTCACAGGATCGCTGGCATCTGTCTCAAGACTAACTTACCTTAGGTAATAAGAATTCACACCTAGTGTACACTTACTGTACAGTACTTTAACCACTTTCTACCGGGCACTTTCACCCCCTTCCTGCCCAGGCCAATTTTCAGCTTTCAGCGCTGGCGCACTTTGGCAATTGCGCGGTCATGCAACACTGTACCATATGAAATTTTGATAATTTTTTTGAGACAGAGCTTTTTTGGTGGAATTTAATCACCACTGGGTTTTTTATTTTTTGATAAACAAACCAAAAACAACTGAAAATTTTTGCGGAAAAAAAGTTTTTTCCTTCGTTTCTGTTATAAAATTTTGTAAATGAGTAATTTTTCTCCTTTACTGATGTGCGCTAATGAGGCTGCAGTGATGGGCACTGGTAGGTGGCACTGATGGACATTGACAGACATCACTGGTGGGCATTCACAGACATTACTGATGGGCACTGACAGGCGGCATTGATGATCAGTGTACATTTCCCCTCTGAGGAATGCGGATTACCGGCTCTCCTCTCATAACGAACTGTCAGCGCTGAAGGTTTTTTACCTTCATACATACAATGCATGAAGGTAAAAAAACTTAAACCTTTAGAACCATTGCTGGTTCAATGTCTGGCACATTTTGCTGGCTGGAAGCACCTTGAATGACAATTGCAACAAAAAAAAAGCAACAAAATTTGAAAACAAAAAGTTTTTCTTTTGTTTCTATTAGATAATTTTGCAAACAGGTAATTTTTTTCAGTGATGATGGGCACTTGTGGGTGGCACTGCTTGGCACTGGTGGATGGGCACTGCTGGGCACTGATCATCAGGGCACTGATGATCAGTGCCAGTCTATTTTCTGACAACCGGCAACTGCATTTACCGGTGAACTGCTGTGCCGGACACAGCTAATCACATGGTAAAAGGCTGCTGTGATTGGCCTTTTACCACATCACGTGATCAGCTGTGTCCGTAGGACTTTCATGTAGAGCTCACTCTTCTTGAGCTTGCCTGTATTTTGCTCTCTGGACCTTTGACAAAGTGGACATTTGATTTAAGTGGCGTAAAAAAAAAACAGGAGTCTGCTAACCTGTAAGTGACAACTGATATTTCCTATTAGTAATATTGTAACTGGGATAATGAGTGCTAGCAGGGTGGAAGGTTTTGTACAGTGCAGTGTGCCGCATGTATGCAGCAATGGAGTAACAGCTCCAGGATAGATACCACTTCGACAGATATGAGCGGGTTGCCCTTCTGGAAGCTCGCATTAGAGATCTGGAGATGCAAGTTGCAACACTGGGCAGAACCGACAACCTTGAAAGGGGTCTTCTGCTCTCTGAGCAGGTAGCTAATGGGATTGATGCAGAGGGGCTAATCAGGATTATCAGGTAGGCAGATGGGTTACTGTAACGAGAGGGAGTGGTAGGGGCTCACCAAAAAGGAAGGCTGGCCCTGGGTTTGTGAACCCAAAGAGATTTGCCAAGTTGGGTGAAGATGTGGGGACGGCAGCCCTGGATGTCACTGCTAAGAGCCGTGAGGGCAGACCATCTGGGAAGGGAGGTGAGGGTAGTGCAGGAAGGCCTAGACAGCTGGTGGTAGTAGAGGATTCTATAATCAGAAAGACTGATCGAATAATTTGTCACTAGGATCGCCTCAACCGAATGGGTTTGCTGTCTCCCTGATGCCAGGGTTCAGCATGTGGTGGACCCGGTTGATAAATTACTGGGCATGACCCAGCTGTCTTGGCCCATGTTGGAACCAATGACAGAATACATGGAAGGTGGAGGCTCCTTAAGAATCAATTTAAAAAACTAGGCTACAGCGCTGCGTATCTTTAAGTGACAATTGTGCGGTCATGCAACGCTGCACACAAATTAAATTTACGTCCTTTTTTTTTTCCCCAAGAATTGAGCTTTCTTTCGTTGGTATTTGTTATAGCAGAGCCATACAAAGCAGTATGCTTACAGTGGAAAGCACAGACACAGCCTCATAGTAAAACACGCACACTGTGAACTCTTTGATTTCCCCAGATGTTAACCCCTTCCTGCTCAGTGCCATTAGTACAGTGTCAATGCTTTTTATTAGCACTGATCACTGTATTGGTGTCACTGGGGATGTCAGTGACACCAAGTCAGTTTCCCCAGTGTCAGAATGCCCGCCGCAGTCCCGCTATAAGTTGCTGATCGCCGCCATTACTAGTAAAGAAAAAAAAAAATTATACCGCTATTTGTAAACGCTATAACCTTAACATAAACCAATTTACACATATTGGATTTTTTTTTTTTTTGCTAAGACGTAGCAGAATGCATTTTGCTATAAATTTATGATGAAATTTTTGATTTTTTAAATTTTTTTTATTGGACGGTTTAACCCCTTCACTCCTCAGGGTAAAACAAATCTAAATGCCTAAGCACAATTTTGCAACGTTGACATGTGTTAGTAAAACCGTACATATCAACACAACTACTTTGTACATCCAGGTGAATTATACCGCGTTTTTTTTTTTTTCCAGGACAAATTGGGCTTTCATTTGGTGGTAAATGGTAATGGATATCGCCTGATATTATATTATATATATATATATATATATATATATATATATATATATATATATATATATATATATATATATATATATTTTTTTTTTTTTTTTTCTCTATCAAAGGAAAACTGGCCCAAAATAGTAAAAAAAAAACAATTTTTTTTTTATTTAGCTATGTGTTTCTTGCTACTACCATAACCTATCACCAAAGAACAACCCAAAATAAATTCTCCAGCTCTTGACAATCGCAGCGATACCATATATGTGTGTTATTTGTTGTTTGTATCTGGAAACAGTAGTGCGCATTTTGTTTTTGTCTTTTTTTTTTTTTTTTTTTTTTTTTTTTTTTTTTTTTTTACCTAAAACACACTGATGCCAATTTTTTTTAAAAAACCCTGACCTTTGAACCTAACCTCTTGACCTTGATCTTTGACTGTGACCTTGACCTAAACAATAACCCTGGCACTGAACTAGATCAAACCTTGATCTAGGTATTTTTTCTTTATTTTTTAATTTTATTTTTTACTAACTTTTTTTTTTTTTTTTTTTCTCTCCATGCCAGGAGTTATAGAGATATAATGTATCTCTCTCCTCCATTCATAGAGAGAGAAAAAAAAAGGGGGCTGGGCTGCACAGTGACTGATCACTGTGATAGCCAATCAGAGGCTATCACAGCGATCATGTGACCCGGAATTGGGAGTCCCGGGTCCTGATCGTTAGAACGGGACCCGGGGCTCTCAGTGGCACCACGGTCCTTCTCACAAAGACAGGTATGCAAATATGTGGCCCCACGGAAAAAAGCCCAGTTCCGTGAGGCCGCATAGTTGTGTGACTTCGGCATCAAGGGGTTAATAGCAAAAAGTTAAATATTTTCCTCACATTGTTGGTTTTTTTTAATACCCCCCTTTCTGGTTTTTTTTGCCTTTCTTTTGGATCAAATATGGGTATTGGATTATAACTTTTTTTTTTTTTTTTTTTTTTTGGTTGAACTGGATGGACTTTTTGTCTCTGTTTTTTTAAGCTGTGGTCATGTGCACTGCTCTATGAACACTACACTTCTCATAGTCTCTAGTTCATCTCAGGAACACGCAAGAGAGAATGACTGTTACTACATACAGTAGGACCATGGAGAATAATCGTAGCCACCCTCTAACAGGAAATCAAATCGCAGCAGCAGAAAAGAAATTTGTAGATCTGGAGGAGACTGAAAGAAAAGAAGGGGCTTTTTTTGATTGCAGAATACACACCTGAATCGGTTTTTTTTTTTTTTTTTTTTTTTTAAAACTAGGGTTTAGTGCAGGGGTGCTCAGCTCGTGGCTCGTGACCTCATACTCTGGGATGGCAGATCAGCAAGCCCAAATCATGAGTTGCCAACCCACCATCCCAGAGCATCAGAGTGCATCGAGTTGGTGCCAACAGTGGAAGAAGCAGGCAGGGAGCAAGTGCCACAAAAGCCTATGTTTCCTCTGTAGCAGGAGGAGTTATACCAAGTGCACTTCACCTGGGACCTTTCTAGCAGCCTAGTGATGCCAGCAGAAGCTGGAGGAGAAAAGGTCCGTTTTATTAAACACATTTTGCGTGGGTTAGCTGCAATGAGGCATAAACTTCTATTTTATCCTGTGTATTTGGTGTGCTTTCTGAAAGCGCACCAAAATTTCTGAACACATGCGTTTTTGGTGCATTTTCAAAAGGTGCATCACACCTGCACGATATAATAGAAGCGCACCTAATCTGCAGGTGCAGGTAAACTGCAGCACATCAGTGTGAAAGTAGCCTTATAGGGGACTCAGGACAGTAAGTGCTTGTTTACATTTGTGGTTTGGGGTGGTAAAAACCAGATAGTTGAAACATGTTTTTACCACCCCTGCCCCAACCACTGATGCAGTGTCAGGGTTCACAATGGCAACCCCACCCCATGCCAGAGGGTCTGTGGGGCCTCTCTGCCACATTCTATTTTCCACTTGGACAGGAGGGGAAGTGGGGGCAGCATATACAGGAACTGATCGTCTCCATTTTTTCCTCCTGCAGCCGCTGATAGACGGCTTCTCCTCCTCCTCCCTCCTGCCTCCTGCCAGGATTCAATGACTGCAAGAGGAAAATGTTCATTATGCTATTCAAAATAAAAAATGCTGAATTCTGAACCATTTTATTTTATCGTGGCCCACAACCAGTTACCAGCTCACTTAAATGGCCCTCACTCTTCAAAAGGTTGAGCACCACTGGCTTGGTGTAACTTTAATATTCCTAGACCTATGAATTGATCTGCAGCTAACTGCTACACTCCCTTCCAGTCCACAATACGTCTTCATATGGATAGAACTGTATATAGATCCTGAACTAGGCCTCTTATGGCCTTCAGTACATTAACAAATTGTTGGGGCAGGCTGCTAGATCTCCATTTCTAATGTATGCACTTGATCCAGTGTCATTTCAAGTGGACAGCAGTGTCACTTCGTAAATAATTGCTGAGACTGACCACTGTGGCTCAAGTGCTAGAACAAAGTATAGAAAATGTGTGAGGGTTTATGGTTGACCACTCTGTGCCGCCCTATAGCAGAAATACTGGTGTGCAAAATCACGTGTGTATATATACGTGATATTGCAGTTTCGGGTAGGAGGCACGAGCGCCCTACCTGCACTGCCATTCGTGGCCTCAGCTGTCAATCACCGGGTCCCGGGCGGTGATTTCTCACTGGCACACGTTGATTGCCAAGTATCTCCGATGGGGGAGGGACCTGTGTATAAACAGCACAGATTTCTCCCCTGTCAGCTCCTGCACACTTCTTTGTATGGGTCTGTATAGCAGACCCATACAAAGCAGTATGCTTACAGTGAAACACAGCACACAGCCTCATAGTAAAACAGCACACCATTAACCCTTTGATCGCCCCACATGTTAACCCCTTCCTCCCCAGTGCCATTAGTACAGTGTCAGTGCTTTTTATTAGCAATGATCACTTTATTGGTGTTACTGGGGATGTCAGTGACACCAAGTCATTTTCCCCCAGTGCCAGAATACCTGTCACAGTCCCGTCATAAGTCGCTGATCGCTGCCATTACTAGTAAGGAAAGAAAAAAAAAAAATTTCCAGTGTATATATACTGCCATTTGTAAACGCTATAACTTTCACGTAAACCAATTAATTTACACGTATTGGGTGTTTTTTTTTTTTTTAGCAGATATATATAGCAGAATACAATTTGGCCTAAATGTATGACGAAACTTTTTTTTTTTTTTTTATGAAAAAAAGTAAATTATTTATTTTTTTCCTCCAAAATTGTAGCTTTTTTTTTTGTTTTATAGCGCAAAAAATTAAAAGCGCACAGGCAATCAACTACCACTGAAAGAGCTCTATTTGTGGGGGAAAAAAGGCCGTAAATTTCATTTGGGTACAGCGTTGCTTGACCGCGCAATTGTCAGTTAATGTAATGCAGCGCCGTATTGTGGGCAACTGGTTAAAAGAAAATATTTATATGTTACAAAGTGTCTTGTTGCCTATGTGCACAAAAAACTTTTTTTCTAAACTGGAAGATATTTCAGTGTTTAGCAAAGCAGAAGGAATACAGAAATGAATTGGTCAAAGATGCAACGAAGAGTGGGCATTGATGGTGGGAAAGACTACAGTGGATCATACAAAAGACCTACAGATAAAGAAAAATAAATAGAAACATGTCATATCTGTTAGTATATTTTTCTACATGAATGTAAAAAAACAGAATTTGCAGAATTCCTTGAAGATGGTAAGTGCTGGTTCACACTAGTGCGACTTCTGATGCGACTTGAGTCACACAGAATCGCATGACAAGAGAAATAACATTGTATTCAATGGTGCCCATGCTAATCAATGCGAATTAGCACAGCGCTATATTGGAAAAGGTTCTTGCACTAATTTAGTGCAATTTATAATGTGACTTTGCCTCATAGAATATTCAAAAATGCTGTCCATTGGCTGTCTCAGCCCCAGAGAGCTGAGGCTCTCATGCTAGTCACTGGATTGAGATGGGGCTCAGGCAGGTATTAGGGGGGCTGAGGCGGAAGCTGCACCCAGGAGGTTTTTACCTTCATGCATAGAATACATGAAAGTAAAGAACCCTGAGCCTTTACAATCACACGCTAACCATACACAGGTTTGATTTGGGCTGTGGGCTAAATAAATAACATTTAACAGATACCTCCATCCACTCTCTACAGTGCGGATGGGCAAATCTCCCCCTGTGGCTATTGTATTCTGACAACTGGCACCAACGGCTGTCAGAATACCTGGACATTGTCTGTCTGCATCTGATTGAGTGCAGCAAAGTATATCAGTTAGGAATAAGGTGACAGGGCCACCCACAGAGCAATTTTTGTCCATTTCATCAGGAACCTGCCCAAATTTGCATAGTGTATGGGCAGTTTTAGGTAGGAAGAGATGAGAATTAACTAGCTAGTTCTGACCGAGGGATAACTGAGAGCTACAGGCTTTAAGCCTTCATTGACATCAGTATGACTTGTGCGATTTGACAGTTTAAAATCACATGACAAGTCACACCCTATTGTCTGCAATGGAACTATTCAAATCAGTGCGGTTCTAACTTTGCGATGCTGCTCTAATTTGAAAAAAAGGTTCCTGCAAAATATATATATATATATATATATATA